TTTTGGTCAACAGATAAAACCCTTCATGAAGGCACATTTAAACAGAGATAAAGATAAAGAGCTTTTAAAACTTACTCAGTATCTCAAGGAAATAGCAAAATTAGATGACTTTTTGGAGTTGAACCACAAACACTGGGAAAGGTAAAGATTATATAATTTGATATATAAGTGAATTAGGATTGGTCATGAGATGTGTGTTGTCTTAAAATTGTTAGAGGAGCTGCATCCTTGGCCATAATGTACAGTGCACTTGTGTTTGATTTTTAGAATTCACATTCAAATGTTTAGGGAAATGAAAAAAGGCAGTCACATGTTCCGGAACTAGATCCACATCTTTTCTTTCCCTGGTGAAATGGAACAATCTGAAGTGAAGTTGTAGGTATGCTGAGTTGAACTTAGTTTCAGCCCTTCCTAGGAATAGATATATTTACAACATCTTTTCAGATCTTCCTTCTTTGCGCCAAGAGGTTAGGAAAAAATGCATTCACCACACACTACCTTGCAAGCTCTCTACAGATACACTTTTGAGTTTCTAAATAGGGCCAATATCATAATTGGAGGGTCGAAATAAGCTGCCATTGCCACTCAGCCAATCACCCAGATGTCTTCAGTGACCTTGCTGGAATCTGATTTCTCTTCTGGTCTGGATCAAAGAAATGGAATCTCTCAAAATTCTGTTCATGGCTTGGCAATACATGAGATTGAAGTGTAGTTGACTCAAGTGAAAAGCCACACCAAGCTTTTTATTGAAACTGCAAAGGAACATTATCCACAAATGGTGTGCTATTCCCCTTCTCATTATGGTTCTGAAGACTACATGGTACCCAATCTGAAATGAATACATACATTAATCCAATATATATGTTTCCAGAATATCAATCAGCTCAGTAGCGGCTGTATCAGTTTGAAATGCCCAGTGTTTCAGAATATATATATCATGTTCATGGCGAATTATATTTCATGTTGTACATACAAAATGTTTTGATTTCTTTCAGGTACCTCTCAAAGAAACAAGGACAGTAATTTTAATTTTGTGATGCTGAAACCAAACAGAAGATAGAGATCCTTTGATCTTGTATAAGCTAGAATAAAGTAGTGCTGGACACTGACTTCATCCACCTGAGTGACTCTTATACCTGGCCTTTTGGTTTGTTCTGGTCTCTTTCGTGAAGATCAGTGCTGACAAAATAAAAGAAAAGAAAACTCGGAGATGACCTTATCTCTGAGGCTGTGTAGAACAATCTCCTTGTTACTGCTATTGTAGTATTGCCAAAAGTTTGAAGATTGTATTGTTTTTCAGGAGTGGGGGATGGAAAATAATTATTCAGTCATTCTGTACTGTAAATCAATTTCCAAATTCTGATCTTGACCATGGAGCCAGTTTTTTTGTATTCTCAATTTGAGAAACAAGTACATTTCATGTTATGATATTTAAGTTTATGAATTATAAATTGTCTGATTATGTAATGGTTTGTTAAGTGTTCCTTTTATGCAGGAAAGCACGATCAAGAGGGAAATATACCTTCATGCGCAGATCTGAATGACAAGATTCTTTATACAAAATGTTTTGAATAAGAGAAAGGATTTAAACCTGAAGAGAACCAAGAATAACTTCTTAAAAAATGAGCACTTGCTGTTCTATTCTAAATCAATCTTCTTCAGGATACAAGTGCTGTCAGTGACAACATTCAGCAACAATTGTTCTAAAGCATCACATAATTTGTTCTGCTTTGGCCCACACTGTGGAAGTACGATAAACATCAACCGATAGTCCCTCACTGTGCCGTTCTTATGCTCAAAAGCAGGTTGCCTGTTTCAAATTAAGATAACAAAATAGTTCTGAAAATAGTAGAACAGGCATGCTAATATGAAAAATGATAATAAATGCATTTCTTAAAATTGCCGTCCTGTCATTCTTAATTTTATTACTCAGGTTTAAGGATGTAGGTAATATTTGATTTTAATGGTCAGTAGTAGTTCAGTCTCTGCGAGAGGTTCTGGCTTGAATCTAAGAAACACTTGATGGAGATATGAAACCAATATACAGCAATCGTTCAGAGACTCAAATGCTAAGATATGTTTTCTGGTGGATTGTTTTGCCAGAAAATCAGAAGCGGAATTTAGCTAACAATTCCATTGAAACATGGATTGTTTCTTGCGATCAGCAGAAGTAAAACCTTTAGGGCAGGGATGCAACCCATGTATATAGTGTTATGTAAATTAGAATATATTTGATTGATCATGAGAGGGTGGATTCAATGAAAGGTGATTAGAAATATGAAAACAATGATACATTGAGAAAACAAAGACAATATTTACAAGCTTGGTTACTTTTATGAGCTTAAATTCATAAACTTTATTTCATATTGACTTTGGGTACCAGAGCCTTTGCTTGCTTCTAGTATCTTCCAGTGTTATCAATGTTCTTTGCCTTCCAGCTGTTTTATTGGTGTGCGGAACAGGTTTTATGGTTTATCAAGTCCTTGAAAAGATACTTTAGGGAGTGGCTTGGTTTGCTTTTCCTAGGTAACAAATGCCACATTTCCCACGCACATTAAAAACACTATTTTTTTACTTTTCTTCAAAATTATGTATTGCAAAACATCCTATATTTTTGAAAACACTAGTTCTGATTAGTTATTAGTTATTTTCAAAATGTATTCAACTTGTTTTTCATGAATTCTTACCAATCAGCAAATTGTAAGTGGGGCCATAAGCTGTTGTCTTAGATATATGACTGAATCATGCAGCATTGGAGTGACTAAACAATCATCCAGCTGTAAAAACAAGCTGTCCTAACACTGAGTCACTCAAACTGCTGTAATGCAATATTACATATTTGGCTTCATAGGATTACAACTTGTAGTATTCTCCACAGATAGGTTGATCTTGCCTTTCTGCCCTAGAGACTAAGTCAATCAACCTTTGCCATGCCTCCCTTCTTCCGGCTAGGAATCTCCAGTCACGACTTAGTCTTAGCCCAAGAGAGATGTGATTTGGCTTCATAGGATTACAACTTGTCGTATTCTCAGCCAGTGGGTTAGAGTCTAATTCAATGAGAAGGAACAAATTTCGGGAAGTTTGTAGAGAACCTATAAGTGTTATTTTCTCCTCTGAAGCCTGTGTGGGTTTGCTCTCAGTTTTATCTAAAAAGTTGAATTTGTGTAGTAATTTCCAATATAGTTTACACCTACTACATTTCCAGTCAAGTTCTATATCCAGACAAGAGCAAGCACATGTATCATTTAATATAGCCAATGAAAAATAATTTGATATTTATCAAACATCAGCAAAGGTTTTTTTTTTTTTTGAAAAAACAGTTAATTGTGAAACCATAATGTAGGAACTCAAAGAATTTACAGTATCTATACCCCCCATATCAAAATGCACAGGACTTTCCATAGCTATGGTAAACAATATTGTGGGTAATTAATATGATCAGTCCCAAAGAGGCTTAATTATTTTTAGGTATATAACCATAGAAAATAGACACCACATGATCCTTTCTGTAATCTGAACTATGAATGAAACTATTTAATGGATGGGCATGATCTATCCAAATAAACTTTCTCTATTAATATAAAATTGTAATGTACTTTCTCTGTGTATTTGCAGGATATCCTAGAATGGTAGCAGTTGCGCTGGATATATTGGTTTGATCAGTTGCCTAGATATCTCTTGAAGTTCTGCTATTTGAAAGCAGATTCTTCTCTGACAGAGAAAATTGGATCGTTTTTTTATTTATTTAATTGTTGAATTTATTTGCTGCCCATCTCCTAGCAAATGACTCTGGGCAGCTTCCAGCATTAAAACATTAAAATCCTAACAAATATCTTTAAAAGAATAAAAATAAAAATCCCAATCAAGATAAAATATAATTAAAGGATGGGGAGGGAAAGAACAGGTTGCACGAGGGGGGGGGGAAGAACAGGACAGAAATTGGCAACATCACACTTCCAATGTGATATTATGGCCCCCTGCGATCTGGCAGAACCAGGTCTTCAGGCTCCTGTGGAAGGACAGACGGGTGGGAGCCAATCTCACCTCGGGATAAAATGTTTCAAAGGGCTTGAGCCATGACGGAGAAGGCCCTTCTGGATCCTATTTGTTTATTTCCACAAATGACAATTTTCTGCCTTTAAGCTTTATAAAAAGTGAAATCTGATTTGCAATGAGTCCTTCTGTGTTACGTTTTATGGTTGGTCCTGTCTGGATGGATTCCAATCACTCTATCTGCTATGGTGCAGCCAAGGGCAAATGTCCTTTTTCAGATATAAAGTTATTAACAGTTTTCCATTAATTAATTAGTAAACTTCAAAGCTGACTTAAGGAGTGGTCATGGCATAATTTATAGCCCTACATAAGTTACACAGTGCTTGTAAAGGCTATTTACTTTAGAAAAATAAACTTGCTAATTTGTGAACTTCAACTCCCAGAATTTCCCAGCCAGCTTCTTAGCAGTGAATGACACTCAGTTTTACTGTATATAGATTGGTGTACAGTAAAAGAGTGAGATCTAAACCTACAACTTCCTTTTGTTTGGCAAGATTGGGTTGTTTTTTTTAAAGGAACTGACTCTTCCCTTCTAAATAATACAGCCTATCCTCATTTTCCCATAGTACTTAATGAAATACATTCTACATTCTGCATTTAATGGTATTACGAACTATTTTTAATAGATTTCCTTGGATGTGGGAACGAGAAGATTAGGAAATGTGAGAAAATTGGCATTATATGGAAAATGATATTGTTTGTAAAATTCTGCAACCAAATAAGAGTGATTCCATGAGAAAAAATCTTGCCAGGTTTAGAAATATATAAGGGTGAAAGTTCGTTCTCTGAGCTTAGACATATATATTAAGAATGCAGTAGTAATTTTGTACATTGTGCCACTTATTTTTTGTAAATTTTGTAAATTTCAGGATGTTCTGAAAGAGAGCCATCCTTCCATCCAATGGTTGCACTAGCCATTTAAAGATCAACAAATGTGACATAGTTTATCTCTTTCATTCTGTTAACTGATTTATTATGGCATTCATTAAGATGATGGGATGAATAAGAGACCCATGGTAGTTGATTTTTTTAATAGAGAGCTGCCTTGTTGATTTCCTCACATGGTCCACGGTATTTTAATTTAAGTGCTCCACGACTCTTTCTGGTAAGAGAAAAGCAAAGGGGGGTGTGAAAATTCAGAATGAATACAAAAAGAAAAAGCACAAGAAGCGTTGACTCCCAATGTAAGGTCTATTGAAATTAGTGATGAACTCAGCATCATCTGATGGCCACTTCACTTGACAAAACAGACCCTTTCTCCAAGTTCTAATGTTCATTTCTGTTAGAAAATCCTTAGAAAGCAGGATGAGACAAAATAGCTCTGAGCATCACTCTTTTTTTTCATTCTCCAAACATGGAAGTTATACTTACACAACAGCATTGCAGAACAAACACTGGTTGTCATAGGTTTCTCCATCAGAACCACAGTGTGGCATAAGCTCCAAAGTACAGAAGTCTTTTATCTGATCACCACACTCAATCTGCAGAAAGCAATAATACAATTTTCAGATCCTAGGACTGAGATAATAAATAAACCTTTGTTATAAAATTAGTCACATAAAAACATGGTAGTTGGATTTACATATTCCATCAGTGTTCCTTTTTTGAGGGGCATATGTGTCACTTCCTCATAAGGATAAAAGTTCTGTATCATTCTGCCAAGGGGGTCTGTAATATCTTAGGGAGGTTGTCTATCGAGATGTTCAATCATCCAGGTCATGATTCCCCCAAATATCCTTTTAAGAAAAGGCTACTGGAATATTTTGATTTTTTTCTTTGAAAAAATTTCACCTCTTATCCAAGACCTGAAGAAGTTTCTTGGGCAAGAAGCAAAATATTTCCAAAGGAAAAAAACAAGAAAGTCCACTGGCTTTTTGGAAAAGGCACCTTTGGGACATCTTGGGTAAGGCTATATCTTATTAAGCTGAATTTCATTAATAGTTAAGTTAGGTGGCTGAATAATGTATATGCTTTCCTTCCTCCAAACAAGAATGGTCCCTCATAAATGGTTAGATAGAAGCTAATTAGAAGATAGCTTCTCTAGCTATCACGTTTACTCTAGATCAGAGATGGAAATCAGAAACCTACAACTCCTATCTTCCCTCATCCATGGGCTATGCTGGCTGGGATGGCTGGTAATTGTAGTCCATTCAGTAACATAACACCTGAAGGTCTCAGACTCATTACTGTTGACATAAAGTATATAAAACTGAATCCAGAATTAATCATACTGTATGCTCTGCTCCTAGAGAACTGTGCCAATCTCCTAATAATGCAATTATTATATTTTTATGATTTATGATTTTCAGGAGTGACTGTCCCGGTGGTTTCACCCAGTGGTTTCACCATATGAAACCCAGTGGTTTCATATAAACATGTTACTTTTTGGCTGATTTATTTTCATTCCCTTTCTAATGCTTCAAGCATTGAAACTGGAGATTGGGCTGACTCTTTTCTAACAATCAACTACCAATTCAGATTCCATAAATACATCTGTGAAGATTAGGGTCTTGTACTAATGTATATGTGTGTATGTATGCAGTGGTGGGATTCAGCTGGTTTGCACCAGTTCAGCAGAACCAGTAGCTAATTTTTTGTTTCCCAGGCCCAGAACGGACTTCTGGAAGAAGCATCCACACAGAGAACCAGTTGTTCACATATTTGAATCGTGCCACTGTATGTATGTGTGCATTTATCTATCTTTGCATTTGCTTACACTGAACCATGTTTGCCATTTTGACACCAATTCACTCAGTTTGGCAATCCCTTTTCAATTCTATTATCCTCATTAGTTTGTTATCTTAGATGAATTTTGATCTCTCATGGATCAAATTAATTATAAATAAATTGAAGAATGTAGGTGACTATTCTCAGCAGTAGTGATTATCTTTTCTACATGCCTCTGACAGAATTATAATTTTAGATATTGAACCATGTTTTTTCCTGACCATGCATTATTTTAGTAGCCAACCCATTTCTCAGTTTAGAAACTGAACACAATTAGAATTAGAGTTTACATCTGCACCATGTAAATCTGTCAAAAATCACATTGCAATTTATTTTCATGCTTCAATTTGATTTTGATTTTTCTTTGCTCCGTAAAAAGTACTAATCTTAATTTTCAACTATAATGATATAGTATTAATAATGTATTAAAAGACAGAATTGCACTTACCGGTTCTTCATTTGCTTCGGTAACAAAATCTAGAACCAAACAACAGTAATATAAAAGCATTAAATTCAAAGCTGATATTGAAAAATGGTTGACTGCAGAACATTTCTTGGATTATGTAAACATGAATGTGTTTTAGTACACGTTCTCCTTTATTATCACAAAAGAAACCTATATCCAGATATCAATATGTGGACATTATTTCTAATATCACTGAATTATATTTGCAACAATAACAATCCATTAAGTTGACAACATAAATAAAATAAATATACAATAAATGAACCAATTATCTTACGATTTTCAAGCTTCCCTCCATAGATATCTGAAACTGGATGCAAGTTTTGAAACTTCATGAAATTTCTGCATCTTAACATCAGCCATGAATAAAGTGTACATCATAAGCACTTACTGTGATATGGAAGCTTTTTGCCTATAGATTTACCTCATTACACGGGGATTTTCCTTTCTCATCAACTAGCAATGTGTGATTTCTTCATGCAAGAGGATCAATTCCACGTGGTAGACTTTGGAATTCATTACATTCCTTCCCCTGAATCCTTAACTTAAAGGATTGTTTCTGATTGCAGAAACTTTTAGAATGCTTGCAGGATAATGTCCCTCTTTCTGAGGAATACATGACGGAATATGCCTGTTTCTAAGAGCAAGGCTTCTTTGGAAAGGAATTTTTGCAATTATGATATGGGACTCACCCGTATAAAAGAATAGCATCAGGGTGAGGAGCAGAACCTCTGCTGTCTTCATGATTGCCTTGTTTGCTCTTTCTTAAGTTCCTACTAGCACTTTGTAATTCACAGATTCTACCACCAGAGTAGGGATCTAACTCCTCTTCTATGTCAGTGCTTTATGTATAGAACGTGTATGCAAATACTGTGATGATAAAACTTTTTCAGATTAATATTTAGCTATAGAAATATATTACTTCTGCATTAAATTTCAATAACAACTTCCTTATCTGCCTAGCAAACAGTTGGCCTCCTGCTTGATAACAAATAAGGTATAAATTCACTTGTTTTCTTGCTCATAAGTCATATGACCTGAGGTGATTAAAAGAGACATGGCAGCCAATTCCGTATGATAATCCTCAGAACAAATGTTTTTAAATTAAGGAAGCACATAGAATAAATTTCAACCATTAAACAAGGAATAGAATCTTTCCTTTTCTTCCTATTCTACCATTGTTGGTAAGCTCAGCTTAGTTTTTGAGAATTAACAATCTTATTTTGTCTCCAGATTCTACCAGGGCCTGCAGGGTCCTAGACTGGGGAAGTATCATGGTCCTGTAATCATATTCTAAGCACATAAGAGATCATGTTTCAGTACACAATATATTGATATGACTGATGTGATCATATTGGTGCAATTCATTTTAGAATCTATGAATCACAGAGAGATAGTTATATACAAAAAATGACAGAGAATAACCATTATAAAGAGCAACTAAAAATAAGTGATCAAACCCATAAACAATATAAAGAAAATCCATAGCTTGAATAAGGGCCAACTAAGTAATTTTTTACTGGAAAAAAAGAGTATTTCATCTTACACATTTCTTCTGTTCCAATTGTAAATAAATTCAATTTAATGCAACTATCACTGAATAATAGTTGAACTAAATATGATCAAATTACATATCAATTTCTTTAATCAGCTGACAACATAAAAACAAACATAAGCAATCAAAAACAACTTTGTGGATCTAAATTTACAACGCTTTTGTTGGACTATAATCTTGGGTTAAGAATAATGGGTAAGTAAGGTTTAGTTGATTAAAGTCAGGCTTCCAGGTTTTGATTCACATCAGAAATGCTTTCTGGGGCTTTAACATTTGAAAGTTGCTTAGTCCTTAAACTTTAATTATCTGTTGGTGTCAGAATTTTGAAGTGCTGAAGTTTTATTTTCTAAAGATTCATATTATTTCTACATAATACCAGTTGTAATTTGAGCTTGGAAATCCCACATAAACACAACATTCATGTGAAGGAGCCTTTAAAATGCCCACTTTTATGAGAATGAGTTGATAGTGTGGATCTAAGTCTCAAAATGCCAGCTACCTGAAAAGGGTCTTTTGCAAGGTGGTGCTTGTCTTACCTGAGTACGAAAAGAAGAGTGCCAGGGTGAAAAACAGGTAAAAAGCCACCTTCATGTTGGTAGGAGAGGATCAGTCCCACCAGAGTTCTTCCACTGAAATATCTTCTAGCTATCACGGACACAAGTGCTGTTTAAGCTCTAGCTGGGCATTTATGTATATATATATATTATGAATAGAATTTGATCACCAGGAAAGCATAAGCATATCACTGCAGCCTTATCAAAAAAAGATAAGAGAATGTTGACATTGTAAATACCTACAGGCACTTTTTCAGTTTCATCATTCTATTAGTATAGGGGAATTTGAAAGGCTTGTGTTAGTCAGCTTCTATTAGTAAATATTGAGTGAATCTTTGGGAACATTAAACATTTGGTAAGTCATAAATCATAACCAAGAAAACTATATGTTCAAAGGGGGAAATATGAAAAATATCATTATTCATCAAACAACAGTTATACATCTATTAAAGACACACAGAATTCAATTCTTAGATAAACCCATGATAACCTTCAGCATGTGTATCTAGATATGATCGCAATTATGAAATTCCACCAAAAAGTAATGAAATTGTGTTAATATTACATCAGAATGTCTATGGCCAAGAAGAATGTATGTGACCATTTCACCATTCCTTACAAAGCTACTCTATGTGTATTTTTGCAATCTAGTAGCCAAGAGGCTGTTTCTCAATCTTGGCAACTTTGAGGTGTATGAAGTTCAACTTACAAAATACCCATATCCTCCAAGCCCCATAATTCTATGAGATATTGGCTGGATATGTGAACTCATGAATATTTAAAAAAAATAGAAAAAAACAAATTCATCAAAAATAAACCCATTTCAGAAACATCAGGTAAAAAGAAGGGAAGAGGTATCTGCTTTTATAATAACAATTGAAGGTGTAAAAACGCCCCTATACTAAAGAAATTCTGTGATATGGACTTAGAGACACTATGCATTAATTACATACCCTTCTATTCCCCCTGTGAGTTCTGTTCATTTATTCAGATTAAAAGGGCAGGCAGAATTGCAGAAATATCAAGTAAAAAGATGGGAGAGGGTATATATTTTTATATTAACAACTAATGGTGTAAAAATATCGCTACACGAGATAAATTTTGTGAGGTGAACTTAGGGACATTATTCATTAATTTTTACTTTTACTCCCCATGAGGGTTCTCATCATTCACATTAGCTGCAGTATATATTCCACCTCAAGCTTGCATAAACAAGGCATTGCGAACCTTAGCTGACCAAATCCTGTGGGCTGAACAGAGATATCCAGACTCCCTACTCATTGTACTAGAAGATTTTAACAGTACTAACCTAAGCCAAGAGTTGCCAAGATTCACTCAGCATGTCAGCTGTCTCACTAGAGACAAGAATATTTTAGACCACTGCTACCAAACACCAAAAGATGCTTATTGCTCTCTACCAAGAGCAGCTATGGGACACTCTGATTACTTATGATTCACCTGGTACCTGTTTATAGACAAAGACTTAAAATCATAAAACCAATAGTTAAAACAGTGAGTCTTGGACTGAAAAGGCAAAGTTAAAGCTACAGGCTTGCCTCGACTGCACAGGCAGGAACATTTTTTAAGTTGCCTCAGGGGGGCTTGGATGAACTCACTGACACTGTGACATGATATGTTAACTGTCATGAAAATGTATGTGTGCCAATCAAAACCTTATTCATCTACAGTAATAATAAACCTTGGTTCACAGCTAAGCTTAAACAACTACTTCATGCTAAAGAGGAAGCTTACAGGAAAGGATATAAAATGCTATACAGTCAGGCCAAGGGAGATAAGGGCAGCAAAGAGAAGCTAGTCTGAAAAGCTGAGGAATCAGAGGTCAACAAATGAACCCAGCAAATGTATGGAAAAGCCTGAAAAATATCACTGGCTACAGCAAACCTCCCTCCCTTACTGAAGGGAATCGGCAATTGGCAGATGACCTGAATGTCTTCTACTGTAGGTTTGAGAGGAAATCACTATCAACTATCATTACCCTCTTCATCTCAGATACACCAACAACAACCAAGTCTCCTACACTTGATTCTATCCCTCTGGCCCCCCACCTCTGGTGATCACAGAAAATATGTGCAAGGTCTATTTCACAGACAAAAGTCTGGAAAAGCACCAGGCCCAGACAGAGTAAATCCTTCTTGCTTGAAAATCTGTGATGATCAATTGGCCCCCATCTTCACCCACATCTTTAATAAATCATTGGAGATGTGTTATGTCACTTCTTGCTTCAAATGCTCTACTAAGACCCAGTGTCCAAGAAACTTCCATCACAGAACTGAATGACTATAGACAGATTGCTCTGACATCCATAGTTATAAAAACCTTCTAAAAGTTAGTGCTGACCCACCTGAAAGCCATCACAGATCTACTGCTAGATCCCTTGCAATTTGCCTATTGTGCAAATAGATCAGCAGATGATGCTATCAATATGGCACTGCACTACATCTTACAACATCTTGAATCCCCAAAGACCTATGCAAGGGTCCTTTTTTAAAACTACAGCTTGGTGTTCAACATTGTCATTCCAGAAATCCTTCTTTCCAAACTGACTCAACTAGCTGTGCCTGAACACACTTGCAAATGGATTATAAACTTTCTGACATATAGGAAGCAGCAAGTGAAGCTAGGTAGAATCACATTGAATATCTGTTCAATTAGAGCCCCCCAGGGCTGTGTACTCTCTCCATTATTCTTTTCTCTCTGTACCAATGACTCCATTTCAAAGGATTCCTCTGTTAAAGTACTGAAGTTTGCAGATGACACAACAGTTATTGGTCTCATTTGAGATGATGATGAGTCTGCATACAGAAGGATGTAGAACAACCTGCCTTGTGGTGCAGCTGGAACAATCTGAAGCTGAACACTCTTAAAACTGTAGATGATAGTTGATTGTAGGAGAAATCCTCCTATTCTACCCCTTCTTACACTATTGGACAACACAGTATCAATAGTAGAGATCTTCAAGTTTCTGGGTTCTGTAATCTCCCAGGACCTGAAATGGACACCTAACATTAGAACCATCATTAAAAAGGCACAACAAAGAATGTTCTTCCTGCATCAACTCAGGAAGCTCAAATTGCCCAAGGATCTGCTGATACAGTTCTACAGAGGAATTACTGAGTCTGTCATTTGTATCTCTACAACTGTCTGGTTTGGCACAGCAGCCAAACAGGACAACTTACAGACTTCAACAGATACTTAGAACTGTAGAAAAAATAATTGCAACTAGCCTGCCTTCCATTGAGAACCTGTACAATGCACAAACCGGAAAGAGGGCTGAGAAAATATCTACAGACCTCTCACTTCCTGGATAGAAACTTTTCAACTTCTCCCCTCAGGATGCTGCTAAAGAGCATTGCATGCCAAAGCAAGTAGTTTCTCCCCCCATGCCATCATTCTTCTAAACACCTAATTCCCACAGCACTGTCTTATGCCTAAAGATATTTCTCCATGTAGTAGGGCTGTATTGCTTATTATCCTTGTCATCTTCTCATCTTTCCCTTCTTTTCACTTCCTCATCTTTCTCATTTCTCATCTTTCCTACCACCTTCTCCTATTGGTATATATGATTTATCAATTGTTTTTTGTATCTTATAGGATTGCATCTTCCGATTTATGATTTATGACTTATCACTTTGTTGTTTGTACAAAGTGTACATAAGCACTGAGAGCTTATGCATCAGAGACAAATTCTTTGTATGTCCAATCACACTTGGCCAATAAAGAATTCTATTCTATTCTATTCTATTCTATTCTATTCTATTCTATTCTATTCTATTCTCAAATAATATACTGTGTATGTTTTCAAAATACAAATAAAAAAGGGCAAACATCTGCTAAGTGCCACACTAACATTTCTTATAATCTTATAATTGCCATCTTTTTCCACCCAGAATTAAGGTTGCTTGCAGATGTTGAAGTGTACCTTCAGCCATGATTCAGTTGCATTGGTGTCATTTAATTAAAAGAACTTCTTTAGAAGCCAAAGGAGATCATCAAATAAAGTAAATTAATATTCCCCAGTCATTTCATTTGATGGCAGCCAAGAAGTTGCCTTCAAGTGCATTTCTTCCTCCTTGCAGGAAATTAGGTTCAGGAATAGAAACTCCATCTTATTCTTCTGACATCAGTGGCTGAAAATGTTCCTTTCTTCTTTGGACGGACTAGAACATATGGTTAGTTTAGGAAAACAATCAACTGGTATCTGAAGGTTGATCAAGTTTAATGTTTTCCCTTTCACACACTTGTGGCTTTCCTTCTTTCTTAAAAGCGCAAAATTGTAAGAATGGCAAACAATACAATATGTTATATACTGTACATACACATAACACACAAAGATGGTCTTATTTTTAAATTGTAGGCTAGAGATAGGTAGCCTTTTCTATACCAAGAACCACCTTCTGGGCATAACTCTGAGGAGTTCACCTTTATCTTTACCTTTTATCTTTACCTTTACCTCCAGCCTCCCACCTCTTTTGTAAGCAAAAACCACTTGCTTTTTGCAGACCTAATATTTTAAAAATAAAGAATGATCACTCATACTTGACAAATTTCGAAGAAAAATAAACATGCCACTTGTATTTGATTAGATTAAATTTGAAACCGCACCTGGTTAATTTATGAGCTGATCTTGGCAAGATAGTGGGGTTAGAAGAACTCATCAGTCTTGGTTCTCCTCCTTACTATACTTCCATCAGCCCGATCAGTTTAAAAAAAAAAAAAAACCTGCTGTATCTATGTGTAAGTTGCTTGAGACCAGCCCAGGAGCTGTAAACTGACAGTCTGAGAGGTCCTAATAGAGATTTTCCTTCTGATATAATTAAATTTCTATAAGTAGTCACTTGTTTTTATTTGATTTTTCATGTCCTTCGAGAAAGTCATGTCAAAGTTTTAAGAAAAAAATGCCATATGTGTTTGGCTAGATAAAATTTGAAAAGATACTTGGTTTGAATTTCTTATGGAATTATGATGTGAAAGTGGCATATGTATCAATTCAACATGTTCCTTCTTAGAAGAGACAACCAGACTTCAAAGAGGTAAGAAGAAAGGTAGGTTTTATTTACATTTTGGAGGGCCAAGAAGTCCCCTTCCCTCTTCAAAGAGGCTTAGAATTACTTTGTGACATCCAGACCTACTTTCACCTTTTATAGTTAAGACTATCATCCACATTTCAAGCACAATTCACTCATGGTGTGCAAGAATGACTATTATAAAGAGCAACAATATCCCCTAGATCAGTGGTTCTCAACCTTTTTAATGCCGCGACCCCCAACCTGTCATAAGTCGAGGACTACTCAACTGGTCGTAAGTCGAGGACTACTCAACTGCTGCAGCACCGTTTGCAGAATTGGACTTTTGGCGGGCTCAGCAGGGCAGAGAGCCCGCCAATAGAATTAGATTCTATTCAAGAGAGTCTATTCTATTGGCTTTCAAAAGCCAATAGAATAAAAGGGAGTAGCACAGCTAAGGAAAAGGGGGAAAAAATTGGCAGACTGCGTGGTTTGGCGACCCCCATGAAATGGTCGTTCGACCCCAAATGGGGTCCCGACCCACAGGTTGAGAACCACTGCCCTAGATGGCCACTGTGAAATATTTAACCTACATAGAACAGTACAGACAAGAGAAATAGCTATGAATCTCTTTGCTTATTACTTTAAGAGATATTTAAGTATGCGTGATAAAATATTATTGTCATAAAGAATTCCCATGATTTATTTTTATACAGGTTTATGAAGCTCAACTGTGTGTCCTTTAGTTCCTGTTTGATTAATAAATGACGGTATGGATTGCAAACTAAAACATATAAGGAAGCAACATGACCACTAATCAGTTATATCAACTGTGCAAGTTTTGAAGAGCAGAACAAAATTGTGAATTGCTCTGGACTGAGAGTTTGTATGTACCTGGTGAGGGTCAGAAGATACATTTGCCGCACCTTTTTTTATACATCCATTCACCCCAAACATACCAGGGCTTGGATCACAAGGCTGTGCCCACTACCTAGCCTGCAGTCACTGGGTTGCCTCTATGTTCATTCACCTGTTCACATACACAGTTTGAAAACTCTTTTCTGCTCTATTGTAGCTTTAAAGGGCCAGCAGATGGAGTTATCACACCTTTATGGGTGTTTCCTGGGAGCTTCAAATTTGCTTTCTGGACTACCTGTTCCCACAGAGGGGAAAGCAGTTTCTGTCCCCCAGGGCTAAAATGGAATCTCCCCACCCACCTCGGTGGGCGGGGGAAAGATAAGCTTTTGGTTCCCTTCTGTTTGGCCTTGGACTGTCAATAGGTTACTCTTCTGATTGCTTGCCTGACTTCACCTCTCAGATAGGGAGGAAGAAATAAATTTTATTGGCCACTGAGCCATACTGGCCTTAGGGAAAGATTCAAATGGGAAGGGTTAGAAGGAGAACAGGTGCAATCCCCTTGAACCATCTATCCATCGTGCCATAGCATCAGTATGCTGAGGATACGACGTGGGCTTCTCCACCCTGGGCCATCCAGGATAAGTTGCCAAGGTTCAGTCCCAGTGCCTGGAGGTCATAAGGACCTGGTTGGGGAAAAACAGGCTTTGTCTCCAACAAGACTGAGTGGCCACAGGTTTTAAAGAGTTTCCTTCCTTGATTCTGAGCGGGATGAATTCTGAAATGGTATAGGATTTCCTGCTTGAGCAAGGGGTTGGACTAGAAGACCTCCAAAGTCCCTTCTATTCTGCCACCATTCACTTAACATTGGTACGCAATTTGGAGGTATTCCTCATAGGTCAGAGGGTCTTTGCACAACTTTCTCTTATGCCCCAATTGTGCCCTTTTCTGGATTGAGAGGCCCTGCTCACAATCATTCAAGCCCTAGTCATCTCCCAATTAGATATTGCAAAGCTCTCTATTTGGGGTTGTCTTTGAAGACTATAAGTGATCCAGAATGCTGCAGTGCGGTTTCTCAATGTGCCCTTGTAATACCACTATTCTGAAGTTGCACTGGCTCTCAGTTGTCAAGATGCTGGTTGTCACCTTTAAAGCAATTCACGGCCCAGTGACTCCTTCCACCCAGCTGTAGAGAATCAGGGAAATTATTATTACATAAGCAGAGTGGGCTGAAACATTATTTAAGTACTGGTAAACAAAATAGTACAGACAGTACTCACTTAGCAGCATCTCATTCAGCAACTGTTCAAAGTTACAATGGAGCTGAGTGAGGAGACTTACAATGGATCCACAAAGTTGCAGCACTTGCGGCCTCCCATAACAGGATTCCTATTTGGGCACTTGGCAAGGGGGGGGAATCATGAGAGTGTCCCATCTGTGCATGATCTTCATTAACCATTCATTGCCACCTTCCAGCAAGCAAAGTGGCAATGGGGAAGCTGACAGGAAGTTGCAAATTATGGTCATGTGACATTGTGCTTCATGACCCTTTGCTTAAAGATTGCAGCTGGAACTGCTAGGATTCTATGATATGTTGGCATGGTTATGTGAGTTTACACTTTATGACCATGTTGCATACTGATGGAGTTCCCAATTACACATTAACTGAGGAGTATCTATGTTCAGAAAAAAAACAACCAAGCATGCTTCTCCCAAATTCATTGGATAAAAGAGAGAGGGGAGTAAAGCACAAACAGCATTGCATGATTCTGTTATTGTTACTATCTCAGTATAGTAGTAGTCTTCTTATAGATTCTGTTTCCTTATCTAGTCTACTTTGCAGAGCTGACAACAGAATATCTGCCCATTCACCCACTTTGATAGGGAAGACACAATCTAGACCCCTTCACTAGTAACCAGAAGATGTGTCTTCTCAGCAGCGGTCCCTATTTATGGAACAATCTTCTTCTCAACATACAGCTGCCCCTACCCCAGAGGGCCTTTAGAAAGGCTATCAAGAACTGGTTCTTCCCTTGGGCCTTTAAGTCATGATGTGTGCTGCCCCAATTGGTGATTTCTGCCTCAATCACCATTTTATTGTTTTATTACTGTTTGTAGGTTCATGTTCCACAGTTTTATTTTATTTTTATTTTTTTAATGTTATGTTTTGTTCAATGTTTGTAAGCCACCCAGACTTACCTTTATTGAATTAGCTCGCTGTGTAAATGTTATCAATCAATTAATATCTGGAGATGTGCAAAATGTTTCCATCGTGATATATTCCAAGCCTAAAATGACTATGAGTATTTTGAGGATGGAACAAAATGTGGCTGGTTTGAGAAGTATGGCTTTGAGCAGGGACATACAAAACGTTTCTTCCTTGAAATGTTCCAACCTCAAAATGTTGATTTGAGAGTCCCGAGCATGAAACAAGGCATATAGATTTCAAGAGTTCTGTATGGAGTACGAAACAAAAGACATTAAAACAAACCAAAGTGTGAACCAAATCCCATTTTACAGGAGCAGCTCCAGATTTAATACAGCTTTATTCCCAAAGAAATTGCCTAACAATTCCAAAACTGCAGAGAATAACTATAGAAAGTTATGGTCCCGCCCATATGTGTGATGGGATCTTGTGCATTTTGAGCCATTCCCTCAACCACAGGGAACCCCAAATCCATCCCAATCCAGGTCCCTGGGAATCTGCTATGAAACACAGACCCATTTTCATGTTGTCTTTTAAATGTACCTTTTTGAGAATAAAGCACTTTTTTTTTAGAATCACTCTTAAAATGATTGCCCCCTCATGCTAAAGATTAGAGCAGGCATGTCAAACTGCCAGCCCATGGGCCGGATGCATCATGCTAAAACCGCACCTGATACGTCACACGACATCATGTGACATCACAAGTTTGACATGCTTGGATTAGAGGTTGTCCATAAGACTTTTACAAAATCTTTCATTGTAAAAGAGTTTGTTTGTTTGTTTGTTTATTGTAACCCTGCAATCTAATAGACATTAGGGAACAGAGACTGTGGAGCAAAAGAAACTCAGAAGCAGGTTAGGATGCATAGTTCATTTTATTGACAAGTGAAATTAATTTAGAAGATATTCCCTGACTAAGCAAACAAAAGTGGAGGAAAGAAGGATGGAGGAAGATCCATGTTGCTTGGAGGAATATCTCAGTCCTCTGGATCAGTATTGCATTACTTTTTACATTCTCCATAGTAACGTAATGTTATTAATCCACGGCTTTCACTACGAAGAGAAAGATATAGCACAGAATTTGAAAAATCAGAAGGTGTAACCCTTTTCACCCAACATGTTTTGCAGCACTAGAATTGTAGAATCTACTGTAATTAGCAGAATTAACCCTTGCTTCATCTTGGCTGGCTGTGGTATCACAATAGAGAAAAAGTCCTCCAATGAGAGAATTCATTTACATCAGAACAATCTTTGTCAGCCTAACTGGAACAAAAACAAACTGCAACAAATTCAGGTCAAAGAAATTTACTCAAGTGATTCATTTTGGCATCATGAGTGAAACCGATACTTACACAAATGCATTGCAGAAATAGCATCTGTTGGGATAGGTTTTGCCATCGGAGGCACAATGGGGCTCGTACTCCTTGGTGCACCCTTGTCTGGGGAAGTCAGTGCAATCAACCTTCAGGGAGAACAACAATAGGTTTTAACTTCTCTTGGCTAATCTCAAGCTTCTAAAGATCTTGTATCATTCCAAATCCAGTGATGTAAAACAGTGTTTTCCAATTTGTAGAATTCCATATGTGGAGACTTCAACTCCCAGAAATCTCTGCAATGGTCATATTGGTTTGAGGAATTCTGGACAATGAAGTCTACATATCAAAAGGAATTGGCCCATGTAGAGAATCCACGAGAAGCCCTGGGGATACAGTGGTTTGAATGAAGAATTGCAGGTTAACTCTGCCCACAGGCTGGAGTTTGATTCTGATGGGCTTAAGGTTCACTCAGCCTTCCATCCTTCCAAGGTTGGTAAAATGAGGACTCAGATTGTTGGGAACAATGTGCTGACATTTGTAAACCAGCTCGAGAGTGCAGTTGCCTTTTGGAAAAAGCACCTTTGAGACAACCATGACCTGGGTGAATGAGAATCTCCATGGACAACTTTAAAAAGCCTTCTTCTTGAAGCCAGGTTGCCCTGAGATTATATGACTTTTGGTATCAGATAAAAATCTGGTATTTTATTCTCCATTAGTATTATTGTAATGACTCTTATGTGCTTATTATTGACTTAACTTTCTGTTAACAGTCCATATTGCTCTTTTAGGTAATATCCTCTTAGTAAGTAGGCTACAAATATTTTGTATAAATACAAATGAACCTTCCCCAAATATTGTAGAGATGTGATATGCCTTACAGCAGTGTTTCTCAAACTTGACAATTTTAAGGCATGTGGAGTTGAAGTCCACATGCCTTAAAATTGTCAAGTTTGGGAAACACTGCCTTACAGCATATCAGTTAAACATGTGGGGAAATGCTTCTACCCACATTTATCTTCACTTGTCATTATCTTACATGGGAGTCACTTCAGTAAATGCATTTTAAAAAAAGGAGTACTCCCCACCCATGATTTCTAATGATATCCCACCCAGCCAACTATTTGAGAGAACTCTGGTTTTAGAAGGCAGCTCTAGTAATGCAGCTGAGGAGCCCCACTGAGATGCCAGCAATTAATTCTTGATTGAAGCAAATTTCAGGAACAGGTGAAGTTGTTTTTTCTCCCTCTATCTTGAACGAAGGTGCTCCTTTCTTTCTTCTGAAGGTTTGGTGCTTGTTCTTTTTAGCATTTGCTGGTATCTAGGTGTCTTAGACTTCCTTCATTCTTTCCAGCAAATAGAACACGGGTGTCAAACTTGCCACATCACATGACGTGTTGTGACGTATCACGACTTTTTTTGCATTGCCGGAGCTGGGGTGGGTGCAGTCTCCACATGATACAATTGGCCCACGGGTCGGCAATTTGATACCCCAGATATATAGATGTCCCTTGCGTGGTGACCCAGTGGACATCCTCCAGAATAAAATGACTAGGGCCAAATATGATTTTGCTTTATTTGCATTTAAAGTAATTTAAGAATGCTCTTAATATGGCTGCTGTCTAAAACAAGTGGAAGGTAGTCCAATTCTAGGACTACTACATTTCAAAGGAGAAACCTGGTTTTTTTCCCCTCCCAGACCCTTTACTGTATCTAATAATATTCATTCCTTACATTTAGGAATAGGGCTTAAAAGATGCCAAATCCCAATTAGATAGTTTTGGCATGAAGGCATATCATTCTAGGGGCCATCCATTTGGAGGACTGCAATATTGCAGTTGAGGTAATTTTCTCATCACTATCAGGGAGAGAGACAATTGGGCAGCAAATGGATGATACATCGACATCTTTCTTTCAACATTCTAATCCTGTTTTGAGTTTTCAGCATCTATACTTGGAAGGGATTGATCGTTGAATGTTTCATCAGACAAAATGTAACAGAGACTCCCTTTCATGTCAAGTTTGATTCTGCAAAAGGTAGCATATATTTGTCATCTTTTTAAAAAAAAATATTGGTAACTTATGTAATAATAAAGGAGAATATTTGTAGCTCAGGGTTGAAATGAGGGGTCCTTGGTGCTTTCTGAGCTTATTTGTTTTCTTGAAGATATTTCATTACCCAGACTAGACAACATCGTCAGTGCTAGTGTGGATTAACAATTACCTACTTTGGGTAATGAAAAACAACCAAACTCAGAGAACACCAAGGACTCCCCAAATTAATGTATTATGCTCTTCTTGAAATCAGAGACAATACATTTTCCACCATGTACTTTTCTAATATTAAAAGGAGGAGGAAGACATCTAATTTATTATTCAGTTCTCTAATTACATCTATTATACTGGAAGGTCTGTTTCTTTGAAAGTATTCTGTCTTTTTTTCCCTGCAACATAAATCACAATTTTACCATTTCATACTAAAAATTGGTTACATTTTTAAAAAATAATCCTTAAGGTCCACATAAATTTCACCCCAGACATTGCTTTTATTGCTATCTCTCCTCCCACCCACCCAGCCTCTTGCCCCTGCAAAATCATTGCACATATAAATCCTCAACTGTGATCATTTGGGTTCATTATATAGTTCACACTTACTGGTATTTTTTCTTCTTCAACAGCATCTAAAAAAAAAGATCAAATCCATAAACAATATAAAGTAAAACCATGGCTTGAATAAGGGCCACCTAATTAATTTTTTTCACAGCAAAAAAAGAGGATTTGACCTGACACATTTCTTTCTGACTCAAATGCAAATATATTCAGATTAATGCAACTATCACTGAATAATAACATGATCAAATTAAATATCAATTTCTTTAATCAGCTGACATTAAAATAAACATAAGCAATCAAAACAACTTTGTGGATCTAAACTTACAACCCTTTTGTTGGACTATAATTTTGGGTTAAGAATAATGGGTAAGTAGGGTTTAGTTGATTGAAGTCAGGCTTCCAGGTTTTGATTCACATCAGAAATGCTTTCTGGGGCTTTAACATTTGAAAGTTGCTTAGTCCTTAAACTTTAATTATCTGTTGGTGTCAGAATTTTGAAGTGCTGAGGTTTTGTTTTCTAAAGATTCATATTATTTCTACATAATACCAGTTGTAATTTGGGCTTGGAAATCCCGCATAAACATGACATTCCTGCGAAGAGCCTTTAAAATGTCCACTTTTGTGAGAAAGAGTTGATAATGTGGACTAAAGTCTCAAAATGCCAGCTACCTGAAAAGGGTCTTTTGCAAGGTGGTGCTTGTCTTACCTGAGTACGAAAAGAAGAGTGCCAGGGTGAAAAACAGGTAAAAAGCCACCTTCATGTTGGTAGGAGAGGATCAGTCCCACCAGAGTTCTTCCACTGAAATATCTTCTAGCTATCACGGACACAAGTGCTGTTTAAGCTCTAGCTGGACATTTATATGTATACATGCAAGTCACCATAACCTTATCAAAAAAAGATAAGAGAATGTTGACATTACAAGCACTTTTCAGTTTCACCATTGTATTAGTATAGGGGAATGTGAAAGGTTTGTTTGGTCAGCTTCTATTACTAAATATTAAGTGAATCTTTGGGAACAGTAAATGTTAAATACTCCGTTCGCTTGCGAATGATGAATAAACATGGCGAAGTTCAACAGTTCTTTATTCCTCTTTAAACAACCCGAACTCCAGGCAACAGGCACGCAGGCCTCTTTATGTGTCCGGAGACCCGGACAATGGCAAACAAAGTAGCAGAGCGTTTTCGCACCTTGTGCATGCGCACAAGGCCGGCACCACTCAGTCTGATCCTGGGCAGCTTTTGGAATGCCCAGGACCAATGCAACGTCCCGAGCCTTTTGCAGGCTCAGGACACAACACCCCTCCCTCCTAGATGGAACATATCTGTGCACACACATGTACATCATACAATGGGAAAGTGTTATATAGTTTCAGAAATCAAATGCAAGGAATGTGGAATACTTGAGGCTACCTTCAGGCAAAGCCCCTTCAATTTTGTTAAGCAATAAATGTATCCAAAATCAAAAAATAATACAAAATAATCTACCCTTTATTCAGGGGCTTTATGAACAGAACCCTTGGAACTTGACAGCAACTTCACAAATTCTCTAAGATGTTTGGGTGAGCATTTGGCCCACTGCAACCTCCTAAGGCCAGGAGAGATTGCCTGGCCCCCTTTCTCACCTACCAGGCGAGGGAGGCCAGCGTGTGGCTGCCTTAAAGTTCCCGGGGACCCCGGTAAGGGTGCCTGACCTACTTGCTCGCCTACCAGGCTAGGCAGGCCAGGATTTTGCTGCCCCAAATACCCAGTTGACCCACCCATCTGCTGGCTGGCTGGACCCTCTAAGTCCAAGCCAGCATACCTTGGAGGGGTGGAAGTCCCCGGGTCCACAATGGACCCTTTTTGGGAACACTGTCCCTCAAACCCAAGGCCAGGAGATGGAGAGTGCTGGGTAGTGGAAGTGCCCCAGTACTCTGTGGCCCCCAAGCACGTGCCTAAGGTGCCAGAGTCAGGAGTCGCCTGCATGGCAACCCCTTTTGCTGTTGACCTCCTTCTGGGAACAATTGCGGAATTGGGTCAGTGCCCCTGCTGGAATTCTTGTTCTCTTGCTGTTTGTGATTTGTGTGGATACCCCTGGTCATTATCCCTGTCTGGAGCACTATCTGACATGTGTGAATACTGTGGATACCCCCGGTGTGACTCCCTGTCTGGAATAAGTATGGATGTGTGCGATGACCCCCTATCTGGTGAATTCCTGTTAGGACCACTTGCGGAACCTTGGGATGAGTCCCAAATAGCCTCAGTAGCGGCTAGTGATGGCCTGTTAGGCCTGTGAAACTGAACCTCAGAATGCATGTTATGGTCCTCCCCCCCCCAGAACAGACCCAGGAGCGGAAGGGTGAGAGTCCAGTCTCCAATGCAGTTGGTCTATGGGTCTGCGAAGAACGCGGCCATCTCCCAAGGCAACTTCATATGACAATGGCCCAGAGACCTTGCAGACCACAGCTGTGACCCAGAGATGACCAGGCCCATAGTTCCGTGCCCAGACCAGATCATCCACTTGGAGTCTCCGCGGTTGTGCCCGTGGTTGTGACACCTGTGAAGCTGACCGGTCAGGGTGCAACCTGTCCAGTTTAGTGATGAGGCGACAACCCCAGTGGAGTTCAGCAGGGCTCTTCCCTGTGGCAGTGCATGGTGTAATGCAGTGTGCAAGAAGGAAATCTGCTAACCTGTGATGCCAGTTACCATAAATCAGTTTCTTGAGGGCATCTTTGATGGCACGCACCATTCTCTCTGCCAGGCCATTGGAGGATGGGTGGAAGGGAGCCGATGTTGCAAGCCAGATCAGATTGGCCTGAAGAAAAGCCTGGAACTCAGAAGAGGTAAATTGAGGGCCATTATCTGAAACCAGAACATCTGGAAGACTGTGTGATGCAAAAAATTCCTCTCAACACCTGGATGGTCCTGGCAGTAGTAGTGGAGGAAACAGGAACAACCTCTAGCCACTTGGAATGGCTATCAACAACAAGGAAGAATTGCCCCTGAAAGGGCCCAGCGTAATCTATATGCACCCTAGATCATGGGGTTTGAGTTTCCTCCCACCTATGTACTGGTGCCTGAGGCATTTCAGGCCAAGACTGTTGGCACACACTTGGCACCCATGCACCTGGGCCTCGATGGCTTTATCGAGCCCAGGCCACCAAAGATGGCTGCACACAAGCGCTTTCATCTTGACAATACCAGGATGTCCCTCATGCAGAGAGACCAAGATTCTAGACCTCAATGAGGCTGGGATCACTATCCTGCTACGTCATAACAGGCAACCCTTGAAAGTGGAAAACTCATGCATGCGTGTAAGCGTGTGATCAGTGGCAGTTTCTGCAGCTACATCCCTTGCATTTAGGGGAAACTCTGGTAATTCCTGGATGGACGGAATGTTAATGGCAGGAGCTGGATCTGGCTCTAATTGGTTCCAAGGTAATCTGCTCAGGCCATCAGCATGGCCCATTTCTTTTCCTGGTTTGTGGACTAATGTATAGTCATATGCTGACAGGAAAATGGACCATCTCAGCATACGAGGAGAAATGATATGTGAGGTCTATTTGTTAGTGGTAAATAAACCCAGCAGAGGCTTATGGTCAGTATAGACCGTGAAATGGCAGCCCTATAAGAAATCATGAAATTTCTTAATGCCAGTCACTATGGCCAAGGCTTCTCCGTCAATTTGAGCGTAATTCCGCTCTGCAGAAGACAGAGTTCTTGAATAATAGGCCACAGGGACCTGGGTCCCATCAGCCTTCAGATGGCTGAGTACAGCTCCAACCCCATAAGGAGATGCATTGCATGCGATGCAAACAGGCAGTTGCTTATTGAAATGCGCTAAAACAGCATTAGAAGTGAGCAAGACTTTAATCTCATTGAAACTCTTTTCATGGACTTTGGTCCACTGCCAAGAAGCCTGCTATACTGGCTATACGCTATACTGGCAGGCTGGGATGCTGATTCAGACGCCATCTTCCCTCTTCAGGACTTCCTGGGTAAGTCCTTACTTTCTCTTTAGTTTGCAAAGGATCCCATCCTCGTCGCTAGTGTTAAATACTCCATTCTCTTGCAAATGATGAATAAACATGGCGAAGTTCAACAGTTCTTTACTCCTCTTTAAACAACCTGAACTCCAGGCAACAGGCACGCAGGCCTCTTTATGTGTCTGGAGACCCAGACAATGGCAAACAAAGTAGCAGAGCATTTTCACTCAGTCTGGTCCTGGGCAGCTTTTGGAATGCCCGGGACCAATGAAATGTCCCGAGCCTGCTTTTGCAGGCTCAGGACACAACAGTAAACATTTGGTAAGTCATATATTATAATTAAGAAAACTATATGTTCAAAGGGGGAAATGTGAAAAAATATCATTATTCACCAAACAATAATTATATACAGTACATGTACCATCACAAATGCCTTGGTATCATTTAAATTAAAAGCACTTCTTTAGAAGCCAAAGGAGATCATCTAAACAAGGTAAATCTATATTCCCCACTCATTTCATTTGATGGCAGCCAAGAAGTTCCCTTCAGGAAAACCGAAGAAAGTTTTAATGGTGCATGTGAGGATTGCAACATTTTTTCAGCCTTGCAGGAAATTAGGTTCAGGAATAGAAACTCTTCTGACATCAGTGAAGTGGTAGGATTCAGCCAGTTTGCACCACTTTGGCAGAACTGGTAGCTAATTTTTTGTTGTCCAACCCCAGAATGGACTTCCGGAAGCAGCATCCACACAGAGAACCGGTTGTTCACATTCTGATTCCGTTCCTTTCTTCTTTAGAGGGACTAGAAGTTAGTTAAGAAAAATAAGCAACTGGTATCTGAAGGTTGATCAAGTTTAGAGTTTTCCCTTTTACACACTTGTGGCTTTCCTTCCTTCTTACACACACATACACAAAACACACAAAGGTGGTCTTTCTGATTTTTAAATTGTAGGCTAGAGGTAGGTAGCCTTTTCGGGGCCAAGAATCACCTTCTGGGCATAACTCTGAGTCAACATTTATTTTTACCTTTTATCTTTACCTTTATCTCCAGCTTCCCACCTCTTTTGTAAGCAAAACCCACTCTTGTGCAGATACGTTTTTTAAAAGAAAAGAATCATCATCCATACTTGATAAATTCTGAAGAAAAAATAAATATGCCACTTGTGTTTGACTACATAAAGTTTGAAAAGACACCTGGTTGATTTAGGAGCTGATCTTGGCAAGAAAGTGGAGTTACAAACATTAATCAGCATTGGTTCCCCTCCTTACTATGTTTTCATCATTCTGATCAGCTTTTTTAAAACTGTTGTATCTATGTTTAAGTTGCTTGAGACCATCCCAGGACCTGTGACCCACAGTTTAAGAATCCTACTATAGAGTTTCCCTGTGATATAATCAAATCTGTACAAGTAGCCACTTGCTTTTATTTGATTTTGGTATGGAATCATTTGAGACAGGCATGTCAAATTTCTAAGGGAAAAAAAAATCTAACCATGTATTTGGTTAGATACAATTTGAAAAGACACTTGATTTGAATTTTCTATGGAAATGTGATATGATAGGCACACATTGAGTTGTACTAATTTGAGATGTTCCTTTTTAGAAGAGAGCTCAAGACAGAAATAGCAAGTGGCAACCAGCCTTCAAAGAGTTAAGAAGAAAGGTAGGAGTTACTTACATTTTTATGGGCCAAGAAATGCCCTTTCCTTATGAAAAGGGTTTAGAATTACTTTGTGACATATAGACCTACTTTCACCTTTTAATCTAGACTATCACTCAAACTTCAAGCAAAATTCACTCATTCTGGGTAGGCATAGGATAAATAACAGTATAACAGAATAAAAAAGTTGGAAGGGGCCCTGGAGGTCTCTAGTCCAATCCCCTGCTCAAGCAGGAAACCCTATTTCAGACAAATGGTTGTCCAATTCTCTTCTTAAAAACCTCCAGTGTTGGAGCACCCACAACTTCTGGAAGCAAGTTGTTCTATTAATTGTTCTCAAAGTCAGAAAATTTCTCCTTAGTTCTAGGTTGCTTCTCTCCTTCATTAGTTTCCATCAATTGCTTCTTGTCCTGCCTTCAGCTGCTTTGGAGAAGAGGTTCATCCCCTCTTCTTTGTGGCAGCCTCTTAGATATTGGAACACTGCTATCATGTCACCCTTAGACCTTCTTTTCATTAAACTAGACATGCCTAATTCCTGCAATGTTTTTAATATGTTCTAACCTCCAGTCCCTAATAATCCTTGTTGTTCTTGACTGTACTCTTTCTAGAGTCTCAACATTTTTTTATATATTGTGGCAACCAAAACTGGATGCAAACTGTGTGGCCTTATCAAGGCATTATAAAGTGGTTTTAACACTTCATGTGATCTTGATTTTATACCTCTGTTAATGCAGCCTAGGACTGCATTGGCTTTTTTGGCAGCTGTAGCACACAAACAAGGAAGCAAGAGGAAGGAAGGAAGGAAGGAAGGAAGGAAGGAAGGAAGGAAGGAAGGAAGGAAGGAAGGAGGGAGGGAGGGAGGGAGGGAGGGAGGGAGGGAGGGGAGGGAGGGAAGAAAAGAGGGAAGAATTCTGAGGAGAAAACTATAATATGTGGTATCCTATATAATAAATAGAAAGAGACTTGGCTGATTTTTGAGTTAAGACCCAAAGTTACCAGAGATTTTTAAATAAATTGTTTGTGTTTGTGTGTGTATTTATATATAATGGTTATCAATATAATAATAATAATAATAATAATAATAATAATAATAATAATAGTAGTAAAGTTGGAAGGGACCTTGGAGGTCATCTAGTCCAACCCCCTGCTCGGGCAGGAAACCCTACACCATTTCGGGACAAATGGCTGTCCAGTCTCTTCTTAAAAACTTCCAGTGTTGGAGCATTTACTGCTTCTGGAGGCAAGCTGTTCCACTGATTAATTGTTCTCACTGTCAGGAAGTTTCTCCTTAGTTCTAGGTTGCTTCTCTCCTTGATTAGTTTCCACCCGTTGCTTCTTGTCCTGCCTTCAGGTGCTTTGGAAAATAGCTTAATTCCCTCTTCTTTATGGCAGCCCCTGAGATATTGGAATACTGCTATCATGTCCCCCCTTGTCCTTCTCTTCGTTAAACTAGACATACCCAATTCTAGCAACCGTTCCTTATATGTTTTAGCCTCCAGTCCCCTAATCATCTTTGTTTGCTCTTCTCTGTACTCTTTCTAGAGTCTCAACATCTTTTTTACATCGTGGTGACCAAAACTGGATGCAGTATTCCAAGTGTGGCCTTACCAAGGCATTAAAGAGTGGTATTAATACTTCACGTGATCTTGATTCTATCCCTCTGTTAATGCAGCCTAGCACTGTGTTGGCCTTTTTGGCAGCTGCAGCACACTGCTGGCTCATATTTAAGTGATTGTCTACTAGGACTCCGAGGTCCCTCTCACAGTTACTACTATTGAGCATGGTGCCACCTATGCTGTACTTGTGCATTTGGTTTTTCTTGCCTAAATGTAGAACCTTGCTTTTTTCACCATTGAATTTGGATGTAGATATTTGTAGATTTGGAAACAGAAATGAAAGTAGATAAGAACTAATATTAAAAACCATCTTCCATCATGGATATATATTTCAAGAATGGACTTGAAAGGCCCAAATGGCAATATCAGTGAAACAAGTAACATTGCTAAGTGATGTGGTTGCAAACTGAAATATCATGTAATCATGCCCAATTTATGGTCTGTGATTATTAAGCAAATAACCTACAGTCATTAAATGCCACAAGTGATTTTGAATTGCAATTTCCTGCCAGTTTCCCCATTAAGTTTGCTTACCAGAACCATCTGTGAAGCTCACAAATGGCAATCAGGTGACCGTAGGACACTATGATCATTGTAAATATCCATTGGTTGCCAAGCACATAAATCACAATCACATAACCACAACTTTTCCCAGAGAGAGAAGCTTTTTCACAGAGAAAACCAAGCTGTTAGGTTATAAAAAAGAGAAGGTTGGTTAGAAAAGAGCAGAAAAAGAATCAAGTTGGATTTTAGGTACTGCTGAAGATTTGTTTGTTCTGGGTGAGACTGGGACTAGATTCCTAATGTTCATGGATGAAGTCTGATGAAATAACCAAAGAAGAAAAATAGCCAGCAATGAACATGACTTCCTGGGTTAGATGGCCCCAAGAAAGAAGATCAGATATTGCCAGCCCAAGGGAGAATTCCAACCAGTTTAATGAACATGTTTGTTCAACTCTAAAAGGGGAAAGTGTTGTAAGAAAAGCTATACACAGATACTCCTCATTTAACAATTGCCTCGTACAGAGACACTCAGAGTTATGACAGTGAGGAAAAAGTTACTGGATCAATCCTTGCATTTACAACCTTCACAAATCTGTAAAACAAAGGAAAGCTGAAGAAAGATAAGCACAGTCTCAGTTTCACTTAGCAAGTACTTCACTTAATGACCAAATTGCAGGTCCCAGTTGTGGTTACTAAACAAAGACTACCAATACTTACATAGTATCAAGCTTAAGCTAATTACTTGATAGACGGAGAAAGACTTGACTTGGATTTATTGATACAGGCAGCAACGAATCATTGCCATATTCCTAATTCTCTTCTAGGTGAGGATAAAGAACATAAAGAAGAGTAAAGTACCTGCAGGCAGGACAAGAAGCAATGGATGGAAACTAATCAAGGACACAACCAATCTAGAACAAAGGAGAAATTTCCTGACAGGTAGAACAATTAATCAGTGGAATGACTTGCCTCCAGAAGTTGTGAATGTCCAACACTGGAGGTTTTTCAGAAGAGATTGGACAACCATTTGTTTAAAAAGGTATAGGGTTTCCTGCTTGACCAGAGAGTTGGACTAGAAGACCTCCAAGGTCCCTTCCAACTCTGTTATTCTGATAACGCAGAGCAAAAGTTGCATTTGGCAAACAGTCTTAATGGAATACTGCTTAGATTGTTTTACATGACAGAAAAATGAACTGAGAAGCTTGCTTATCTATCAAAGGTATTTTTTTTTTCAAAAGGCAACTGGCCTATTTTTTCTTCGAGGAAAAAGAAGAAGACATTTTGCTTCTCATCCAAGAAGTTTCATAGGTTCTGGCAGGATGGAGGGGGGGGCAATGGAAGGATTAGTTCTGACAAGATGGAGATGATGGTGTTGGAAGGATCATATTTGTTTGCAGTCATCTGGTCATTAATACTTTCCCTGAGTGCTCAAGGCCACTTAGGGGTTTATCTGTGCCCTCAGGGCCACCTGTATCAGAGTGCAAATGGGGGTGGAATCTTCTTGGAACTGCTGAAAGGACTGTGTTGTAGACAGGAGATAGGTAGTTTATCTCTGTTAATAAATAGGGAGGAAATTTACAGGGAGGGATTTGTTGGCTGTATGATGGCATATTTCCCATAAACTCAAAGCCTTTGTGACATATATTTTATGTGGAATAAGAGATATGTTAATAAATAGAATATAGCATCCCCCAAAGTGAGGGAGAGTCTTCTGACTGATGTGATATCTGTAGCAAACTTCTAATTATTTAATCTTCTTCAGATTTATAGATATATCAAGCATATACCTGTAGATATGCAGTTATAATCATAAAAAATAATAAAACACATACATTGTTGCAAAAGAATACAGACTATATAACAATTTCATTGTTTATTGATAAATGAAACTGAGACACTGTGAATTTTCACAGGAGCAGAGGGAAGAATATGGTCCTCGTGGTGCTATAAGCAACCTTGAAGGAATCAGTAAATTTTCTTCTGCATCTTCAAATTACTTGCATTTTCCAATGAATTCCAGCTGAAGAGTTTTACCACTGTGACTGATGAGGAAACAAAGCCAAGAATCCATTATCACAAGTCAAGAATCAACTGGCTGTCATTGCGCACCGAAAAGAAGGAATCTAGTATTCAGTAACAGAACTAAGGATCCCCTGAAATTGACAAAAAGCTATGTTTCCTTCTATCTATCTAAAGCAGTGGTTCTCAACCTGTGGGTCGGGACCCCATTTGGGGTCGAACGACCATTTCACGGGGGTCACCAAACAAGGCTGTCCGCCATTTTTTCCCCCTTTTCTTTGGCCATGCCCCTGGTACCCGGTGATGTATAACTGGTTGGGGGTCACCACAACATGGGGAACTGTATTATGGGGTCGCGGCATTAGAAAGGTTGAGAACCACTGATCTAAAGTTAGTAAAATACATTGTTTAACACCACCTCACAGTTCATTTTTGTTAGAAAATATTTTATTTTAAAAGAGCTGCCAATAAAAGTGCTCTTGTCACCAGCTGTACTTAGTAAACCTTATACTTACATATATGCATTACAGAAGAAGCACTGATTATCATAGGTTTTTCCATCGGAGGCACAGTGTGGATTGTACTCCTTCGTGCAGCCTTCTTTTGGGTACTTCTCACAATAAATCTACACAAAAAGTAAATGGTACATTTACTTTCCCTACTTTTCTTTACAGTAAGGCAGTAACTATTAACATACTTTGTGCAGTAATCATGTGAGACCAATTATGTATTATTATGCTGTAAAATTGTAAATCCATCTTTTGTAAAGCCAAGTCCACTGGTCCTCTCTTGTTCCACATGGGCTTTACTGTTCCTTGTAGGGGGAACAAGTGGCAGTTGTGGCCAGCAGGCCTTCCTCTTTCCATCTCTTCTGCCAATTGCTACCATTCCTCTTGCAGGAGACCTTTTGTCACTCATCTCTTGGTTTCTTCTCAAGTGGACTCTTGCAATGCATTTTACATGAGGCAATCCTTGAAGACTCCCTGGAAAGTACAGATGATCCAGGAGTTATGAGTATATCTTATTTTGCCTAGATCACCTTAATACTTTGGGAACTTCATTAGCTACCAATCAGTTTCCAGATGAAATTGAAGGTGCTTCTTGTCACCTTTAAAGCCCTATATGGTTCAGGACTTGTTTAGTTCTGGAACTACATACTTCTATTGATTTTGCTTATCTGGAAGATCTGGAAGGGAGAGAGATCTCTACTGTGAAGGATTGTCATCTTCAGAGATCTGGGACTGAAGCTGGGCCTTTTTCATTGCTGCCTCCCATCTGTGGAACAGCATTCCTTCGGGAATCAGAAAACTACCAATCTTGCTGGTATTTGGGAAACTTATCAAACCTTGGCTGTTCCAATGAAGCCTTTGAGGACTGATTTGAGAGATGGAACACTTCAACATGCTATGATGTGAATTATATTATTTTTTCTATTATTGTATTAAAATCAATTTATTGAATATAAGAGATGTTGTGACCAAAGTAACATTTAAACCTGAGCTAGCTAGCTATAGTATATAGTTCCCACCTATTCTTAGTGACATTCTAGAAACAGATCTGTGCTTTTATTATTGTATGTTGTATTTATATTATCCAAATTCTCTGAGTGATTTACACCTCCTTCTCTGCTATTAAAAATCATATACATATACAGATAATAAAAGAAACATAAATGTAACTAAACACTACATAATAGATTATATGTCAGTGTTTGTGGTGTACTATGATTTTAACTACATACTGTGCCTTTCAGGGGCTTGGAAGGATAAACCAAAGGACAGGAGTGAGTGGATAAAAGGGAAAGAATTGGTGTATTGTGCTAAAAGTTTGAATGTAATTGTTGGTTGTTATAAATTCACCTATGGGAAGATTAGATTAGATAACCTTTATTGTCATTTTTCCTGTGGGCACAATGGCACACATTAATAATGAAATTTAGTTGCTTCCTCTCAAAGTGTACACACACATACACACATTTAAAACATACTATATACAACATATGTATAGACCTACACCCTTATATATAAGTAACATAAATATTAATCACTGTCCATCTTGAATACATAATGGAAGAAGGAAGCTTTAGAGTTCACAAAGTTAATACTGTATGGAACAAAGCTGTGACTGAATCTGGAGGTTCTACTTTGGATACCACAGAGCAAAGAGCAAAGAGAAAGGTGGAAAATCTATGCTACTATATAATGCTGCTTTGAACATTTTGGCAGACCTTTTTAACCTGGCAATAAAGCAAATGAAATGATTAGGGATAAACTAATTTAGGAAATACCCCTGCTTCTATCTGGAAGTGCTTATTGGTAGAGTCAGACAGAAACCTCTTGTATATTGATTGCAGGACTAATTGAAATTTCTGTAACAGAAGCCAAGTGTATAAGGCTGGATAAAGAGGATGAAATCTAAGCTGTAGATTCTGCCCATGTGAGTTTTCTGCTGAAGCCACATCAAAGTTGTGAACAAAGAAGAACTGGATACATCAAATAAAGTCAAGATGTTGGAAGAACTCATTTGCATTGCAAGTCACTTCAGCATGTGGTGAATTATTATAATATATATCTTACTAGGATGACCCAGTGCAAACTGTATAAAAAGTTTTGCTAAGGTGCATTACCTTAATGAATTTAACCAGCATGTAACAGCAGAGTACCATCTCTGACTATTTTGAGATCTAGAACTACTGGTTTTATTGCCCTGTATAGGAAATTCTGTGCAGCATCAATGTTTGAGAATATCAAAAGAACTGAACTTGAAATCAGATCAGGGTCAATGTATTTACAAAATACATTTTTGGGGGGAGAGAAATGGAACAATTGCAAGAGTAACAGAAGAGAAACATAAACATGAAATTATTTGTGCTCAAGGAGCTGTTCATAAATTTAAAATGAAGCTTTGGTGGTGATAGCTGTAAAACAAATGGAACAATAATGAAAAACAATCTCAGTGGAAATTAGAGAGTGGGTGGAAGAGTGACTGGAGTGGTTACATCAAATATCTGAGTTACTCCCTTGTTCTTTCTTGACTAGCCCCCACTATTAAAGAGATTTCAAATTTTGGCCTTGGCGCCAATGACTGATCACCCTTCAGGCCTTGCAGGGGCCAGAGAGAGAGGGAAAGAGAGTGGGAATACGCCCCTCTCATTTTCCCTTTAGCCATGCAATCTATGGCTTTCTGGGAAGTGTGGTTGGAAAGCATGCTAGCCCTGAAATGACCACACATTTCCCAGATTTCATTCCTACGGGCCCTGGCATTCTGTAAGATAGCCCGTGTGAGTTACCTTGTTTCAATCATTGTTGCCCTATACTTTCCAATTTTGTTCAATTGAAGGCTACAAACAGACACAAGAGTTTTAATAGTATATAGATGTTTCTTTGATCATCAAACAATCAACCCAGAGTTCTCACTGAAGGCACAAACAACCAGGTCAAATTATCCAACTTCAGATATATTTGTTCTGACCTGGCTCCCCAAACACAACAGACATACCAAATAGTCTCTAACATTCCTTTTATTTCAGGAATGCCAGCAGTTTCACACAGCCTCCAAACAACAGAGGTTGCTCCCTTTTCCCCTGTAGGGGTCTTCCAATACCCAGAGTTAGTCTCACCATACTTGCAGCCAAAAGTCCTTCAAGCAAGCTGGCTATTGTTTAACATAAGAGACACCCATGCTCAGAAGGTGCCACAGGATCTGCGGACAAACTCTGGCCACTTCCAGCACCACAGAATCTGCGGAAAAACTCTGGCAAAATTCCAAGGGGAACTGTCAGGAGTTCCAAATACAAATGGAACTCAGGAAAACAAATACCGTATATGCTGGCATATAAGGCGACTTCTGCAAGCGCTAAAATCAGCGCCAAAGACGGGGGTCGTCTTATACGCCGAGTCGTCTTATATGCTGGAAATACTGGTAGTTTCCGGCGTATAAGATGACGTTCTAGGAATGCGGCTCGGCGACAAAGACGGGGGTCGTCTTATACGCCAGGTCGCCTTGTACGCCGGCATATATGGTAGTTGTCTGCCACACCTATTCATCTCCGGGTGGTGCTCCGTTAGCAGCGGTGACTCTTCCACCCTGAAGACCACCCCATAGCTCTCACTGTTCTCCTCTTCTCAGCTTCCACTGAGCCCACGCATCAATCACTGGCCCCATGTGATCCTCCTCTCCTGACTCACTTGTCTCAAGGCATGGAGGTCTCAACCTTTCCATCTGAGGGCTGTCGGATGGCTCATGCTCCACCTCTGTCCCTGGCTGTGACAGCTCCATTCCTTCGTCGGAGCTTTCAGATGGGCCAGGCACCCATTCCTGTGCTTCCTCATCTGAATTGGCTGCTGAGTCCTCCGGCAGCCCACAGGCCACAACAATATTAAACAAAATCTATGTGATTGGTAGAAGTTGAAAACAACTTGATGGCACATAATTCATAATCAATTCATGAAAAACAAGGGATGTGAATAAGAATAAATTTTTGAGACTCACCTTGAGATCTTTTGCAGTAGCAACATCTGCAACCAAAACATTCAAAATGAAAACAGTTAAAGCAAATCTATACCATCTTATATTTTGTTCTCTTCATCTCAAAAGGTATGGTTTTTGTTTACTTTTGTATATATTTTAACAGCCTATGTGCCCTGCATTTAATGTAAAACTTAATAGAGGAGTGTCCTAAATCGGATTCAAAGCTCAGGGAAGCTTCTGCTTACATTACAAATGCTCCCAATTACATGTAAGAGCTATTTAAAGGATTGAGACATGACCCCATTGGTGTCTTTGCACAGAAAATGTCAAGTATTTGGCAAAAGTACTACTTTGTTATTCAGGGAATTCTCTAGCTTTACAATACAATAACCCCTGAAAAATGATGATGATGATGATGAAGATGATGACAACAACAACAATAATAATAGTAATAATGATGATAATAATAGTTGGAAGGGACCTTGGAGGTCATCTAGTCCAACCCCCTACTCAGGCAGGAAACCCTATACCATTTCAAACAAATGGCTGTCCAGTCTCTTTTTAAAAACTTCCAGTGTTGGAGCATTCAAAACTTCTGGAGGCAGGTTGTTCCACTGGTTAATTGTTCTAACTGTCAGGAAATTTCTCCGCAGTTCTAGATTGCTTCGCTCTTTGATTAGTTTCTATCCATTGCATCTTGTCCTGTCTTCGGGTGCTTTGGAGAATAGCTTGACTCCCTCTTCTTCATAAATAGTGAATTAATGTGACAACTCTAAAGAATACAGGTAATCCTTATGGCCACAACTGAGCCCAAAATTTCCATTGCTAAGAGTTTTGACCCATTTTACAACTTTTCTTGCCACTGCAGTTGTTCAGTTAGTCACACGGTTGATAAGTGAATCTGGCTTTTCCATTGACTTGGCTTGTATTTTGTCAGAGGATCGCAAAAGGTGATGACATGACCCCAAGACACTGCAACTCATTAATACATGCCAGTTATCAAGGATCCGAGTTTTGAGTATGTGATCAGAGGGATGCTGCAATAGTCATAAGTGTGAAAACTGGTCATAAGTCACGTTTTTCAGTGACTTTGTAACTTTGAATGGTCAATAAACAAATGGTTGTGTAGCGGGGCTGTCTGAGAGTGTTTGCAGGAGCTTGGTTGGGAAGGGAGAGATTGGGACAGCTGCTGCTGGCTTTGGGTGTGGCTGGCGTGGTCGGAAGAAAAGATAGAAAAGGGAAGGAAAGGAGAGGGCCAGGGGCTGTTGCTGTTGCAGTTAGTCAGGTGAAGGTAAAGGGACTGGAAGTTTTATTTGCTTTTTTTTCGTAATGAGGATATTTTAAACAGAGGCTAGAGGGAGGGAGAGAGAGAGTGGAGTTTTATTGCTTCCTTCGTAAGGATGATATCTCAAATGGAGGCAAGAGAGAGAGTGTGTAGAAAGGAGTTGGCTGAGGCTCCTAGCCTCAGATTTTAACAATAAAAATAAAGGGGAGGAGGGCTTTGATGCTGAAACCTGACTGAAGAAGAAGCAACAGAAGGAGAGGAGAGACTGGTGGTGGCTATTGTTGCTGCGAAGCCTGGAGGCTAGTTGGACTGTGACTATTGCTGCTGGTACAGGTTTTACACATTGTGGGGGAGTTGCCCTGGGGAACGAGCTATTGCTACAGCACACTGACTGTTGCTGTTTCTACTACCGTCTGCAGCCGGGGTTTTCCTCCATCCCACTTGACTCTGAACGATCACTAAGGAATCTTTTATTCCTGCTGCTATACCGGCCTTGGGCTGTTGGATATCATCATAGCATTGACTACTGGGGCTGGTTATTTTCGTTCCTGGAAGCCCCTCCTTGACGACAAGAGCCTGCTACCTACTAATTCTGCATGAGCTCAGGCTGGAAGAGACATCTTACCAACCCCATAGAGAACACTACTGCAGGGCTTGACAAAGGGGGCTGGGGCTGGGAGGGCCTGGTTTTTGGCGGCCTCTGAGGAGGTAATGCTACAGTTGTAATTTGAGGACTCCCTGTAGTAAATAAAATAACTGCCATCTTTCCAAAGTCACCAGGGCTATTCTCTATACATTTATTTATTTATTTATTTATTTATTTATTTATTTATTTATTTATTAAAATTTATAGACTGCCCCACTCCCGCAGGACTCCGGGCGGTTTACAATAAAAACACAACATAACTTAACAAACAAACAGTACAATAACAGTCATCCAGGGATCAGATTTTATAAACCCCAGGCCTGCCGGAAAAGCCAGGTCTTAAGCAGCTTGCGGAAAACCAACAGGGTGGGAGCGGTCCTAATCTCTGGGGGGAGCTGATTCCAAGATGTGGGCGCCATCACAGAGAAAGCCCTCCCCCGCGGCCCCGCCAAATGGCACTGCTTGGCCGACGGGACCTGAAGGAGGCCCAGCCTGTGGATCTAACCGGACGAAGGGAACTATGAGGTAGTAGGTGGTCTCGCAAATAGCCTGGCCCTGAGCCATATAGAGCTTTAAAGTTTGCCTGAGTAGCTTGCCTGTTCAGCTGTATAAAAAATTGTACTCCCCACAAGTTGCTCTAGATGACACCACGATTTCAGAAGCTCTGATCTACAAAATCTTCTTGCAATACAATCAGCTCTGCACAAAATAGCCTCTTGCTTTCCTCTGGCTCTTCTATGGATGTTCCTGAAGGAGGAATCAGTTTCCACTGAGGCTGATTTGAGATTGTTAGTGAATTATGGACTTGTTTTCTAGATGACTCATCTAATGGAATGTAAGTTCTGAAAATAACATTCCCCCACAAGGAAAAGTAGCAATATGAAATACAACCCACCTGAGTACAAAAAGAACACTATTAGAGTAAGCAGCAGAAAGCCACCTCGCTTCATGATTGAGTTAGTGGGTCTGGTTGTGGTCACTCACTTCTGAGGAGAAGGTTCTGTGAGTAGGTCTCTCACACGCCTTTCTTCACTATATATGAGTTCTCTGCTACCTTAATGATATTATCTCTTCCTCTTTCTAAGAGGAATCATGTGGAAATAGGGTGCCAGAGTGACCTGCCATGAGCAGACCTATTTCAAAACTCCTTTTTCTAAAATGCAAAGGTCAAGAATGAAGAAACACATGTCAATCAATGTGTTCACCAAGAATAGGAAAAGCGAATTATTGCTTGAATATACATCATAGCCATGTTAAACAATGCATAGTATTGCAAGAGCATCAGTACAAAGAAATTTTAAAACATAGTGAAATGCTCTCATTTGGTCCTACAATAAAATAATAGATTGATAAGTTTTCTAGATGAAACTACTTTCCCTCCTGTACAAATAAACAGAACTCCTTTCATATAACATTCTATCCCTAGCAGCACAAAAATAACAGAATAATTTTGCTAATTTCAAAGCTTGTTACAAAGAAACAGCTAGCACACATATTAAAAGATTTCAATATTGTAATATCAAATATAACCACCAGCTTATTTCAAAAACAAATTAAGTAATGTATAGCACAGCTGCATTATAACTAAATACCTGGGATGCAAAATCAACGAAGAAGAAAATAGGCAAACACTGCAGCACCAAAATGAAAGATCAAGCTGGAAAATAAGTTCAGCATGCTAAGATCACATGAAAGCAAGCTAGAGCATATTAAAGAAAAGAGGCTGGAAAGCAAGAAGACAAAAACAAACATTATTAAGAAATATCACTTAGAAATAAGGAAGTTCAAGAAAGCACTGGGAATAATAAAACAGCAAATAACAGCAGGTACAAAGCTTGAATTGCACACTATAGGCAGAATTTCCAATTTCAGTCAGATCAGAAATGTTTCTACCAATCCAACAATGGATAGACCTACTCAAGACCCAACAAATAGAAATATGTGCAGTTCTGGATGCAGCTATGGGACAAGCCATAGAAATACAACAAGGATGCATCTTGGATAAAAGAGATGGATAAAAATAAAAAAAGTTGAAATGAAAGAACAGCAAAAATGATGGAGAAAAGGATAAGGATCAAGAGCTGGTAAGCACCACATGAAGATAACTGCATGGTTTTTGATTGAAACAGCTGCCTGGTCTATATCCATTCATTGCCAAGCATGTTAATGACATACTACAAGAAGATGAAATTAAATATTGGTTAACAAATATTAGTAAACTCTATCTGAAAAATACAGCAAAAGGGCCAGCACCAGGCATTTATGGACCAATCACCTGCTTACCAACGACTTTCAAATTGCTCATTGGTGTAGTAGTTGATGCAATTCAACAGCCTCAAATTGAAAACTAGCTCTTTCCAGCTGAGCAGAAAGGAAATTGCCCAAATATCAGAGGAACAGAAGATTAGTTCCTAATCAGTAAGATGATTTTAGAAAACTGCAAGAGAAGGAAGACTAACTTGAAGGTGCTGTGGCTTGGACTGATAACAAAAATATTTTTGACTCCCTGCTTAGATAATCAAATGCCTAGAAATAATAAGAATTAGTAGAAATTAATTAACTAAAACTAAATAAATACAATAAATAAAATCAATATAATGGGTTCACTTCCTCACAATGCCTGATCAGTTGGTATTAACCCTTGAACTGATTTTTAGGACAGCTATATCTGGTATGAAAACATACTAAATTATTGAAATAACTCCATATTATATCCTATTTTTAAAAAATAATAATTGTATGCTTGTGTGTGCCCTCTCCCTTTGCTCCCTCCCTAAAATTAAAATCCTTAACCAGATGAGCAACAATTATTTGCACCTGAATAATCTTCCAGTAAAATAGCCAATTCTGCACTAATAACCTCCAATTTCTATTTCCTTCTTGTGCAGATTCTCCTGACCAAGAATTATTTCCCACTGAACCAGCCTTAAGGATATCTGTGGATTATTGTGTCTTTTTTCCTGGGGACAAAGGGCTCCTCAACTCTCTCAACAGAAGAAAAGTTGGACTGGTAAACAGAACTTACTGGAGTACAAGAAGAAGAGCAGCAGAGTGAGCAGCAGAAAGCTTCCTGGCTTCATGATTGTGCCACAGAACCTGGTTGAGGTAGGACTCTTTGGAGCAGTAGATGCTGAAGGTGAGGCCTCAGAGCTTTCCCCTGTCCTTCCAGGCTATATATGCATATCCTGACCATTTTGGTGATGAAATCTCTCCCTTCAGGTTGCAATTGGATGTGAAATTGACCTGTTGCTGAAATTTGTGGCAAGAACATCAGTTTGTAAATTTCCTTTTACACAATTAACCCAGGATTCAAGAAGTATATGGCAACCAGAATTTAATAGACTTGCAGCAGATGTAAATTATCTTGATTAGGACCACTCTGGTCTTTTTATTGTCTTAGGTGCTGAGGCTTAGAATCCAAAGTTACCTTTCCATTTTCTTTTCCTTTTACAACCTTCAGTTCCTATGTGGAGACTGGCTTTAATCAATAAGATAAACAATATGTGACAAGTTTCTAGTACTGTATGTACAAAATGTATCATATCAGTTGGCTTAGATGATGTTTATAAGGTGTCGGGATGATTTCTGAGTTGCTTGCTGACAATGATTTTGACAATGTTGACAATGATTTTGTGGCCAAATCTTGGGCCTCCCAGTTTTGGAGTCTCCAATATATCATCTGAGCCCTACCTTGTAGTTCTAAAAGGGAGGTTTTTAGGGACTGAGACTCCTGGAAGATCCAATTGTACAATGAAGTCCAAAGGAATAATCCTTTACCATTCACAGATTAGGATCTCGTTTTCCTAAAGCTAAATTAGCTCTTCTACAAAAAGATCACAGTGTGGTGTCTCTCTAGCAGGGGTCCCCAACCCTCAGGCCATGGACTGGCACTGGGATGCGGCATGCCAGAAACTGGGCTGAGCAAACAAGCAAAGTCTCATCCATGGAATGCAGGCAGCATGTGAAACCACGCACCCTCTGGTCTGTGGAACAACCTCTCTCCACAGAACCAGTCCCTGGTGCCCAAGAGGTTGGGGTGCCTCTGCTCTATAGCCTGGTATCCGCCTTGTTTGTGGAACTTGTATCAGTTCCACATTGCAGCCTTTGCACATATTATCATTTTTGCTTGGAAGTATATTATAAATGAAAAATTATCAATCAAACAGTGTTGGGAGACACAAACACATTATCGTCTTAATCACAATACTTTGTTTTTTAAGAAGACAAACATAACACAGGTTTCTCTGATTAGAAGAGCAGTATTATGCTTAATAGAAGGTAGGAGGATCAGCCAAGACTCCATTTTTATTAAAAGTAGAATAAATTTGATTAAAAATAGTATATTAATTATTTGTATGGGCGACGAGCAAGGAGGGGATCACCGCTTGATCGCGGGGGGGGGGTGGTGGTGGTGGCAGCCCTTCCACTTGATCCGGGGCAGCCAGCCAAACTGGCGGAGGAAAGACCAGCCATAGCTATATGGCCCATCATTAGGCTGCAGACAACCAAAGTCAAACCTACTACCAAGCACTTTGAAAGCAACGCAGATGAAACTGGGTGAGATCTGATCTTCTCTTTACCCTAAATACTTTCTCTTCCTGTAAAAGCTACCTGAAGTATCTTTCCTCCTGTGAGGAGAGAGGGAAGGGAATTCCTATCCCACCCTCTAAGAATAGCCGCATCTGACTACCCAGGGGAATTAAAGCATTAAAAGAATAACTTTAATCGAATTGGATTTATATGTTCCTGAAACTTGGGGACCAAAAATTTTCCTATTTTTATTGGAGACTGTTATTTTTATCTACAAGAAAGAAATAAAATTAGAAAAAGGACTATAAAAATTTTGGACTCAAAAAAACTTAAATGGCATTGGTGACATCTTGTGGTGAAGTTTGGTACTGTTGTTGTTGTTAATTGCGAAGTCGTGTCCGACCCATCGCAACCCCATGGACAATGTTCCTCCAGGTCTTCCTGTCCTCTATCATCTTCTAGAGTCCATTTAAGTTCACACCTACTGCTTCAGTGACTCCATCCAGCCATCTCATTCTCTTCGTCCCCTTCTTCTATTGCCCTCAATCTTTCCCAGCATTAGGCCCTTCTCCAGTGAGTCCTTCCTTCTCATTAGGTGGCCAAAGTATTTGAGTTTCAACTTCAAGATCTGGCCTTCTAAAGAGCAGTCGGGGTTGATCTCTTCTAGGACTGACCGGTTTGAACGCCTTGCAGTCCAAGGGACTCGCAGGAGTCTTCTCCAGCACCATAGTTCAAAGGCCTCAATTCTTTTGCGCTCAGCCTTTCTTATGGTCCAACTTTCACAGCCATACATTGCAACTGGGAAAACCATGGCCTGGACTATACGCACTTTTGTTGGCAGGGTGATGTCTCTGCTTTTAGTATGCTGTCTAGATTTGCCATAGCTTTCCTCCCCAGGAGCAAGCGTCTTTTAATTTCTTGGCTGCAGTCCCCATCTGTGGTGATCTTGGAGCCCAGGAAAATAAAATCTGTCACTACCTCCATTTCTTCCCCATCTATTTGCCAGGAATTGAGAGGGCCAAATGCCATGATCTTGGTTTTCTTAATGTTGAGTTTCAAGCCAACTTTTGCACTCTCCTTCTTCACCCGCATCAAGAGGCTCTTTAGTTCCTCTTCACTTTCTGCCATTAGAGTGGTATCATCTGCATATCTTAGGTTGTTGATATTTCTCCCGGCAATCTTAATTCCAACTTTTGATTCATCTAGCCCTGCCTTTCTCATGATGTGCTCTGCATATAAGTTAAATAGGCAGGGCGACAGTATACAGCCTTGCTGGACTCCTTTTCCAGTTTTGAACCAATCAGTGGTTCCGTGTCCAGTTCTCACTGTTACTTCTTGACCCGCATATAGGTTTCTCAAGAGACAAATAAGATGGTCTGGTATTCCCATCTCTTTAAGAACTTGCCACAATTTGTTGTGATCCACACAATCAAAGGCTTTAGCATAGTCAATGAAGCAGAAGTAGATGTTTTTCTGGAACTCCCTAGCTTTCTCCATGATCCAGCGTATGTTGGCAATTTGATCTCTAGTTCCTCTGCCTCTTCGAAATCCTGCCTGTACTTCTGGTAGTTCTCGATCCACATACTGCTGGAGTCTAGCTTGTAGGATTTTAAGCATAACTTTACTAGCATGTGAAATGAGTGCAATGGTGCGATAGTTTGAACATTCTTTGGCATTGCCTTTCTTTGGAATTGGAATGTAAACTGACCTTTTCCAATCCTGTGGCCACTGTTGAGTTTTCCAAATTTGCTGGCAAATTGAGTGTAGCACTTTTACTGCATCGTCTTTTAAGATTTTGAATAGCTCAGCTGGAATACTGTCACCTCCACTAGCTTTGTTGTTGCTCAGATTTTCTAAGGCCCATTTCACTTCACATTCTAGGATGTCTGGTTCGAGGTCAGTGACCATCTCATTGTGGTTATCTGGGACGTTAAGCTCATTCTTGTATAGTTCTTCTGTGTAGTTTTGCCATCTCTTCTTAATCTCTTCTGCCTCTGTTAGGTCCCTGCCATTTTGATCCTTTAACAAGTTGAAGTTTGGTACTACAACTTGTTATTTCCTAAGGCCACACTTGGAAGTTTTAAAGAAGAAATTGGACAGCCATTTGTCTGAAATGGTGTAGGGTTTCCCTCCTGAGCAGGGGGTTGGACTCGGTGACGTCCAAGGTCCCTTCCAACTTGATGATGATGATGATGATGATGATGATGATGAATCAATGACATCAGCAAATATTGCGGGCCCAATTGGCAAAAGAAAGCTCAGGACAGTATTAGTTGGGAACATGTAGATGAGGCCTTCATCATGCAGTGAATAGACAATGGCTACAATGATGTATGCATGCATGCATGCATATATGTATGTATGTATGTTTAAAACTACTCATTTCAATATATAGTTCAGGGTGGGTCACAAATAGTTAAAAACAATATAAAAGCAGCAAAACAATGAAACAATTCATACAATCAAAACAACATCATCCATAAAATCCTATCACAAAATTCAAATTCACTTCCAAAGTGAACACCTCCCTCTATGTAGTCAGTGTATCCACTGCATAAGTTCATACTCACAAATTCCCATTGACAAAAACATGTTTTCAGGGCTTTACGAAATGCTCGCAGGTTCAGGGCCATTCTGATCTCTGGTATGTGGGAGCCATAATAGAAAAAGTTCTCCTCCCCATCAGACAGCATTTCTGGGGTGATGGTACCTAGAGCATACCTCTCCATCTGGATCTGATGGGATGGGTAACAGGAGACAGGGTTGTGGCTTTAATTGTTGCTTCCGAATGAGATGGTTGCCACATATTCAAATCAATCAAACAAACAGTAAATACATCATACTTTCTATGTTGATTTTTTTTGACATTCTGTCTCACAGCCCCAACTCCAGTATGATATTCTACTGATGTAATGAGATTCATTCCACTTGGATTGACCAATATCACTCATTCCGGCAGAGGAGATATGGTGTTGTCCCATCAGCCTAATTATTCCATCCTTTCATAAGGGTCAAAAGATGGGGCTTTGCCAGTCAGCTTGAGGCCCCAGTAGGATTAGCAGTGCAAGGGAGGTGGTTGATTGAGTAATAATAGATCCCACCTCCCACCCATTCCACTCCCACCCTCCTCATGTGTCTTTTGTTTTAATGTTGTCTTAGCTTAGATGGGCGGCCAAATAATTTAACAAACAAACAAACCTTCCACCCCAAAACCCCCAAGTCTTTCATTTCATTCTCTTAAATCTTGTTTTTATTTGACATTCTTTATCATCTTGCCATTACCTTTCTATGCCTCATCTGAGTTCCTTCTTAACTGTTTTAGAAGCATATTACCAAGAGAATAAAAATAAGCACAAGTGGTAAACAAGGTGTTAATTGTTGTCTCAGGAAGGAGTACACAATGAAGTGCAGATATAGTAAGAGGGAAGGTCAGATCCTGTATCTCTGGCTGAAAAACCAGCAGCAAAAGTCACTAAGAGTCAGCTGACAAATAAATTTAATAAATTATTAACAGTATTAAGCACAGGCAGATCAGGTGGCTAATGGGAATTGCACAGAGGACTATCTGATTAATGATTTTAATAATAAAAATATCTCTTT